AAAAAAAAAAAAAAATAAACCAAATAAGCCAAAACTGAGATAATTTGTCTCTGGCAGACTTGCCCTACCAGAAATATAAAGAAGGATCCTTTAGAATAAAATGAAAGGAAATAAGACTCAAATATATGAAGAAATACAGAGCACCAGTAAAGGTAAATACACGGGTAATAGAAAAGGATAAATGTATTTTGGTTTATAACTCTTTTCCTATACAATTGAAAAAGCAAAAGCAAGTGCACTAAGAAATAATTTTAACACTGTTGATGGACTTAACAATGTATGAGGATATATATGACAATACTGTGAAGGAAGAGGAAGGAGGGAACAGAGCAATGCAAGAGCTTTTGAAATAGAAATTTCATTGATATTCATCTGATTTAAGATGCTAATTTGTAATCTCTAGAACAACCACTATGAAATAACTCAGAAAACAGACAGTAAAAGAAATAAGGGAATTAAAAAGGTATACTAAAGAATAACACAAAAGAAAACAATAATGGAGGACTAAGGAGGAAAAAGCTTAAGACAGAAAACAAATGGCAAAGTAGCAGACTTAGATCCTGTATTATCAGTAATCTTACTAAGTGTAAAAGAACTAAACATGCTAACCAAAAAACAAGAGACCAGCAGATTGGATTTTAAAACATCATCTGACCAGGTGCAGTGGCTCATGCCTATAATCCAAGCACTTTGGGAGGCTGAGGTGGAAGGATTGTTTGTGGCCAGGAACTTGAGATCAGCCTGGGCAACACAGTCAGACTCCCATCTTTACAAAATATTTTAAAATTAGCCAGGCTTAGTGGTGTGTGCTTGTAGTTCTAGTTATTTGACAGGCTGAGGCAGGAGAATCACTTGAGCCCAGGAGTTTGATTACACCACTGCTCTCCAGCCTGGCCACATTTTGAGACCCTGTCTCTTAAAAAAAAAAACCCCAAAACATCATCCAACCATATTATATAGACATGTATGTGCATAAGAGACATACCTTAAATTCAAAAACACAAATAAGTTAAAAATGAAAGCATGGAAAAAGAAAAACCATGGAAACAGTACCCACAAGAATGTTGGAGTGGCTGTACTGTATCTCTATCAGTCAAAATAGATTTTAAGACAAAAATTGTTACTAGAGACAGGAAAGGATATTTTATAATGATGAAAATGTGACTCTATTACAAATACAAAGCAACAAATGTCAGAGTGCAATTGACAAAACTAAAGGGAGAAATAGGCAATTTGACAATAGCCAGTTGGGGGAGATGCCTGTAATACACCTTCAATAATCAATGGAAATAAAGGAATGAAAGAGGGGACATTGCTACCAGCCTTACAATGTTTAAAAAATACTATAATACTATGAACAATTGTATGCCAACAAATGAGATAAGCTAGATGAAATTAACACATTCCAAGGAAAATACAAGCTACCAAAACTGGTTTAAGAAAGTCTGAATAGACCTAGAACAAGGAAAGATATTAAATTAATAATTAAAAATTTCCTACAAGGAAAAGCCCAGGCCCAGTGGCTTCACTGGTCATTTCTGTCAGACACTTAAAGAATAACATCAAATTTTTCAAATTCTTCCAAAAGTACAAAAGGAGGAAGCACTACAAAGTCAATATTAGACTGATAACAAAATCAGACAGAGATATCACAGGAAAGGAAACCACACAGCAGTATTCCTTATGAAACAGATACTAAAATTCTCAACAAGATATTGCAGACCGGGCCCAGTGGTTCACACCTGTAATCATAGCACTCTGGGAGACCAAGGTGGAAGGATCCCTTGAGCTTAGGAGTTCAAGACCAGCCTGAACAAGAGCAAGACCACATCTCTACTAAAAATAGAAAAACTAGCTGGGTATTCTGGTGGGCACCTGTAGTTCTAGTTACTAACACAAGAATATCGCTTGAGCCCAAGAGTTCAAGGTTGCTGTGAGCTATGATGTCACCACGGCACTCTATCCAGGAGGATGGAGTGTGACTCTGTCTCAAATAAACCCCCCAAAACAAAAACCAAAAAAGTAGCAAACTGAATTTAGCAATATACAAAAAGTATTATACACTGAAAGCACAGGCAACAAAAGTCAACATGGGTAAACTGGACTGTATCAGAATTTAAAACTTCTGGGCATCAAAAGTCACAGTCAACAGCACAGAAAGGCAACCTGCAGCATGCCAGGGCTGGGGGAAGTATTTGCAAATCATATGTCTGATAAGGGGCTAATATCCATATTAAAGAACGTTTACAACAATTTTTTTAAAAACTGATTTTAAAATGGGCAAAGGACTTGGATAGACATTTCATTAAAGAAGATATAAAAATGGGTGATACAAATACATGAAAAGATGTTCAACATCACTAATTAAGGAAACGCAAAAACCATAATAAAATACTTCCTTGTACCCATTAGGATAACTACTATCAGAAAAAGAAAAAGGAGGAGGAGGGAAGGGGGGAGGGAGGAGGAAGGAATAAGAAGAAGAAGGGGGGTCTCACTTCAGCAGCACATATACTAAAATTGGAACAATATAGAGAAGATTAGCATGGCCTCTGTGCAAGGATGATATGCAAACTCATGAAGCAGTCCATATTTTTTGTTAACCAGTTTGATGAAAATATTTCAAATTATATATAAAACCAGCACCAAGTACCCCATGATTGCATTAACATGCACAGCTATGATTTAATAAAAAAAAAAAAAAAAA